CAGTATGTTGTTATTCTACTGTGCAAATTTGGGACCTGGCCTCCAGTATCTTCCATGTATATATTATTTGATATCTCTCTCGTCTCCTTTCCAGAGAGAACATTGGGAGCTTTGAGACGGTCCCAATAATTTAGGTGTTTTATCGTGTCTATGCGTGCCGTATATGTTCTCTGTATTCCCTCGAACTTAGACATCTCTCCCGCTCTGAAAGGTTAAGTGAGTACCGAGCAATACTCAAGACGGGACAGCACCAGTGATGTAAATAGTATCAACATTGCTGTGGGATCTCTGGATGTGAACGTTCTCATAATCCATCCTATCATTGTCCTGGCCGCCGCCGCCGCTATATTTGCTCGGTTATGTTCACTAAATGTCAGGTCGTCAGACATTATAATTCACAGATCTTTCATATGTTGCTTTCCTTCTATGATTGTTTCTGTGTTTCGCCTGTGATTGTATCTCGTGGCTGATCCCAGCACACCAGACTCACCTACACCAGCCTCGACTCATAATGTGCAACGCCGTGCAAAGTGCAACAGGTTTACCTAACCAGCAACGACCCCTCACCCCCTTCTACGTATCTACAGAGGGGGGGGGGGAATTGTGGCCAGGTGTAGAGGGAAGAGAATGAGAACAGGCGACAAGTGTTCTAGAGAACAGGTGCATGATAACTCTACTGTGAAATATTAGAACACACCTGTCGACGACACATGTGCAGGGTCAACAACCCTTTATCTCCACACAACGCCCCCCCCCCCACATCACCACAACAACCATTGTGACACATAAGTAACTTCGCGTGTATCAAGCTTTAAATGCCGTTGTAATATTAGCATAGTAATCATAAATTAGTATAGTTAACCATACAAAGAAATTCGAACGTCGTGAAATTTATTAGAAAATGTGAATTTGTCACGCCACCCGATCTGTTATTTATATAAACCTTACAATAACTAACCCTTAAAATAACAGTCTGGCGAACAAAATAAAATACTGGTAATCACCATGACTCGACCTAATTAAACCACAGACACAACCAAGGTCTGCCTCCCATTGTCGATGAAAGGCAGACAATGATCCCATCTCACAGGCATACGGGCTCGCCATAACCCGTGCTGCATGGAACTCTTTGTTCTAGGTAGCGAATCTTAAACAACAACAACGATCTCTGGACGCTCGCTAGATCGCCTTGTGATAACGTGATCCAACAGGCTGTTGTTGAGAGCGGGTACATGGAGGAGACGACTAACCTATCAACAGTATAGGTTAAGTAATAATTGTAATTAAGAAGCAATAAGATGCTTATCTTAACGTATTAAGAAGGTTAGGTGAGGTCGGTGTTTTCAATGAAGCTTTCAAGGTAAACTAAAATATTTACAATCAATTAGTATGTCACATATGCACTTATTAAATAAGCCAATATTGACTATACGCAAGTTCGAGAACGGGTTGGACAATAGCATCATAGCTTCCCCGGCAGCATAAGCTACACCAATATTCCCTGCTAGTCACAGTGTTGTTGGACGACAGGTCTGGGATCATTATCAGCACTCCTTCACTAGTCAATAGACAACGCTTCACACGGCTGCTTGACCGGGCTCCATCCTGCAATACAGCTAAGCTCATACTCATTACTAACCATTCTGTACACTAACCAGTAGCAGCAAGTTCCTAACAGTCGATTAACTTTGATTTGGGAGGCTATGTAATCAACCTGTCCTCTTAAAAAGATCGTCGCTTTTGGCCGTTTGCCAGTATGGCCGAATTTGGACGTAATTTGAAAATGAAAAAAAAATGAAAATAAATTTGGAATTTTTTTTTCAACAACAGTCAGTTAAGGGTCCTCTGATAGGTTAGGTGGGCAGGAAATTCTCATAAAGTTTCAAAACATTATGAAAAACGTTAATTTAAAGTGTCCTCTCATAACCTCTGCGCATAAGCCGGACGACTCAAATAGAAAACGGAACAGAACGTCACTTTTGTGAGACAATTTCATTTCAAATTACGTCCAAATTTGGCCATAGTGTGCATACGGGCCAAAAGTGACGTTATTTTTAAGAGGACGGGTTGATGTAATTACCTCCCCCCCCCTAAGGTGTCAAGGGAGGCCCCTAGCAGGTCAGCTAGGAATATACAGTCCACTTTAATTAAAAAATAAATTATTAATATACTAATTATTTATTTTAGTAAATTATTTAATTATTTGTAAATATATAAATTACTGCAGGAAGAATTTCCTCACGACACCCCCCCCCCTCCACAACAATAACACCCCCCCCCCACTCCACAACAATAACACCCCCCCCCCCACTCCACAACAATAACACCCCCCCCCCAATCCAACAACCCCACCTTTGTACTTTAGTAAAGCTAGATAGACTTTAGTATCACACGTGTCCTAAGTCACACTCCAGTACCACACACACGACTGCATTTTCTTGGATTGTCGGAAAGCCTTTGACACAGTACCGCATAAGAGGCTGGTACATAAGCTGGAGAGACAGGCAGGTGAAGCTGGTAAGGTGCTCCAGTGGATAAGGGAGTATCTAAGCAATAGGAAGCAGAGAGTTACGGTGAGGGGTGGGACCTACGATTGGCGTGAAGTCACCAGTGGAGTCCCACAGGGCTCTGTACTCGGTCTTATCTTGTTTCTGATATATGTAAATGATCTCCCAGAGGGTATAGATTCATTTCTCTCAATGTTTGCGGACGATGCTAAAATTATGAGAAGAATTAAGACAGAAGAGGACTGTTTGAGGCTTCAAGAAGACCTAGACAAACTAAAGGAATGGTCGAACAAATGGTTGTTAGAGTTTAACCCAACCAAATGTAATGTAATGAAGATAGGTGTACGGAGCAGGAGGCCTGATACAAGGTATCATCTGGGAGAGGAAATTCTCCAGGAGTCAGAGGAAGAAAAAGACTTGGGACTTGATATCACGCCAGACCTGTCTCCTGTAGCACATATCAAGAGGATAACATCAGCGGCATACGCCAGGCTGGCCAACATACGAACGGCATTCAGAAACTTGTGTAAAGAATCATTCAGAACTTTGTATACCACATATGTCAGGCCAATCCTGGAGTATGCAGCCCCAGCATGGAGTCCATATCTAGTCAAGGATAAGACTAAACTGGAAAAGGTTCAAAGGTTTGCCACCAGACTAGTAACCGAGCTGAGAGGTATGAGCTACGAGGAGAGACTACGGGAATTAATCCTCACTTCGCTGGAAGACAGAAGAGTTAGGGGGGACATGATCACCACATTCAAGATTCTCAAGGGAATTGATAGGGTAGATAAAGACACGCTATTTAACACAAGGGGAACACGCACACGGGGACACAGGTGGAAACTGAGCGCCCAAATGAGCCACAGAGATATTAGAAAGAACTTTTTTAGTGTCAGAGTGGTTGACAAATGGAATGCATTAGGAAGTGATTTGGTGGAGGCTGACTCCATACACAGTTTCAAGTGTAGATATGATAGAGCCCAATAGGCTCAGGAACCTGTACACCTGTTGATTGACGGTTGAGAGGCGGGACCAAAGAGCCAGAGCTCAACCCCCGCAAAGACAACTAGGTGAGTACACGTGTCCTAAGTCAGACTCCAGTACCACACACACACACACACACGTGTCCTAAACCAGACTCCAGTACCACACATACGTGTCCTAAGTCAGACTCCAGTACCACACACACGTGTCCTAAGCCAGACTCCAGTACCACACACACACACACACACACACACACACACGTGTCCTAAGTCAGACTCCAGTACCACACACACACGTGTCCTAAGTCAGACTCCAGTACCACACACGTGTCCTAAGTCAGACTCCAGTACCACACACACGTGTCCTAAGTCAGACTCCAGTACCACACACACGTGTCCTAAGTCAGACTCCAGTACCACACACACGTGTCCTAAGTCAGACTCCAGTACCACACACACGTGTCCTAAGTCAGACTCCAGTACCACACACACACGTGTCCTAAGTCAGACTCCAGTACCACACACACACGTGTCCTAAGTCAGACTCCAGTACCACACACACACACACACGTGTCCTAAGTCAGACTCCAGTACCACACACACACACACGTGTCCTAAGTCAGACTCCAGTACCACACACACACACACACGTGTCCTAAGCCAGACTCCAGTACCACACACACACGTGTCCTAAGCCAGACTCCAGTACCACACACACACACACACACACACGTGTCCTAAGCCAGACTCCAGTACCACACACACACGTGTCCTGGGCCAGACTCCAGTACCACACACACACACGTGTCCTAGGCCAGACTCCAGTACCACACACACACACGTGTCCTAGGCCAGACTCCAGTACCACACACACACACACGTGTCCTAGGCCAGACTCCAGTACCACACACACACACGTGTCCTAGGCCAGACTCCAGTACCACACACACACGTGTCCTAGGCCAGACTCCAGTACCACACACGTGTCCTGGGCCAGACTCCAGTACCACCCACGTGTCCTGGGCCAGACTCCAGTACCACACCCACGTGTCCTGGGCCAGACTCCAGTACCACACCCACGTGTCCTGGGCCAGACTCCAGTACCACACCCACGTGTCCTGGGCCAGACTCCAGTACCACCCACGTGTCCTGGGCCAGACTCCAGTACCACCCACGTGTCCTGGGCCAGACTCCAGTACCACCCACGTGTCCTGGGCCAGACTCCAGTACCACCCACGTGTCCTGGGCCAGACTCCAGTACCACCCACGTGTCCTGGGCCAGACTCCAGTACCACCCACGTGTCCTGCGCCAGACTCCAGTACCACCCACGTGTCCTGGGCCAGACTCCAGTACCACCCACGTGTCCTGGGCCAGACTCCAGTACCACCCACGTGTCCTGGGCCAGACTCCAGTACCACACATACACACACACACGTGTCCTGGGCCAGACTGCTGCAATAGGGTACAAGTAGCGAGGCATGATACAGGTGCTCCTGGAAGACTCACCTGGGGTGTTAATGATCATGCCGTAACTACCCATGATGGTAGTTGCAGCTACTGGACAATCTTCACCACTCTTCGTCTTAACCTTACAATCCCCTCAATGATGACACGAACAGTCTGTTATACGGGGTACTAAGGGGTATATGGCTACCGCAGATTACTAGTGCCCTTCACGGTCCCATTACCGCTAATGGTGGAGGTATTAGTAGGAGAGGACACTAGGAGCGACACAGGGGGGTAGAGAGAGCCGGCGTACAGCCTCCCACGGCGACGCTAAGGTTACTGAGGGTGTCTGGGGCCGCCCACGTTAGTCATTGGGTGCTGCTGACGCAGTTGCCAGAGGCCGCCACACGCCTGCCGCCTGAGACGGGTCTAAGACCTGAGGACCTGATGCACTTCTCTACGTCATTGTTAATCTCTAAACTCAGTTAACCTAACCTGACCTAACCTATCCTAACCTGACCTGACCTATCCTAACCTGACCTATCCTAACCTGACCTAACCTATCCTAACCTAACCTATCCTAACCTAACCTGACCTAACCTATCCTTACCTGACCTATCCTAACCTGACCTAACCTAACCTGACCTATCCTAACCTGACCTATCCTAACCTGACCTAACCTATCCTAACCTGACCTAACCTATCCTAACCTAATCTGACCTAACCTATCCTAACCTGACCTATCCTAACCTGACCTGACCTATCCTAACCTAACCTATCCTAACCTGACCTAACCTATCCTAACCTGACCTATCCTAACCTGACCTAACCTATCCTAACCTAACCTGACCTAACCTATCCTAACCTGACCTAACCTATCCTAACCTATCCTAACCTGACCTAACCTATCCATACACCTGACCTAACCTATCCTAATCTGACCTACCCTATCCTAACCTGACCTAACCTGACCTATCCTAACCTGACCTAACCTATCCTAACCTGACCTATCCTAACCTGACCTATCCTAACCTATCCATACACCTGACCTAACCTATCCTAATCTGACCTACCCTATCCTAACCTGACCTAACCTATCCTAACCTATCCTAACCTGACCTAACCTATCCTAACCTGACCTAACCATACACCTGACCTAACCTATCCTAACCTAACCTGACCTATCCTAACCTGACCTAACCTATCCATACACCTGACCTAACCTATCCTAATCTGACCTACCCTATCCTAACCTGACCTAACCTATCCTAACCTATCCTAACCTAACCTATCCTAACCTGACCTAACCTATCCTAACCTGACCTAACCATACACCTGACCTAACCTATCCTAACCTATCTCAACCTGACCTAACCTATCCATACACCTGACCTAACCTATCTTAACCTAACCTATCCATACACCTGACCTAACCTATCCTAATCTGACCTACCCTATCCTAACCTGACCTAACCTAACCTAACCTAACCTAACCTATCCTAACCTAACCATACACCTGACCTAACCATACACCTGACCTAACCTATCCTAACCTAACCTGACCTATCTCAACCTGACCTAACCTATCCATACACCTGACCTAACCTATCCATACACCTGACCTAACCTATCCTAACCTAACCTGACCTATCTCAACCTGACCTAACCTATCCATACACCTGACCTAACCTATCCATACACCTGACCTAACCATACACCTGACCTAACCATACACCTGACCTAACCATACACCTGACCTAACCATACACCTGACCTAACCATACACCTGACCTAACCATACACCTGACCTAACCTATCCTAACCTGACCTAACCATACACCTGACCTAACCATACACCTGACCTAACCATACACCTGACCTAACCATACACCTGACCTAACCTATCCTAACCTGACCTAACCATACACCTGACCTAACCTATCCTAACCATACACCTGACCTAACCTATCCTAACCTGACCTAACCATACACCTGACCTAACCATACACCTGACCTAACCATACACCTGACCTAACCATACACCGGACCTAACCATACACCTGACCTAACCATACACCTGACCTAACCATACACCTGACCTAACCATACACCTGACCTAACCATACACCTGACCTAACCATACACCTGACCTAACCATACACCTGACCTAACCTATCCTAACCTGACTTAACCATACACCTGACCTAACCTATCCTAACCATACACCTGACCTAATCTATCCTAACCTGAACTAACCTATCCATACACCTGACCTAACCTATCCTAACCTGACCTAACCATACACCTGACCTAACCCATCCTAACCTGACCTAGCCAAAACTATTCTAACCTAAAGAAAGTACGATGTTATAAATTTGCACATGCCAAGTAGGCACGGTCCCTCATCTAGTATACATACATCACGCTCATGTGTATTCATGCACTAAACATACGCACATGTATACCTTATATACATGTCATTGAAAACCTTAATTTACTATACACAAAACCGTGGACATCTTCAAGAGAAAACTGGATAGTTTCCACCAAGGAGTGCCTGACCAACCGGGCTGTGGTGGGTATGTGGGCCTGCGGGCCGCTCCAAGCAACAGCCTGGTGGACCAAACTCTCACAAGTCAAGCCTGGCCTCGGGCCGGGCTTGGGGAGTAGAACAACTCCCAGAACCCCATCAACCAGGTATATGTGGGCCTGCGGGCCGCTCCAAGCAACAGCCTGGTGGACCAAACTCTCACAAGTCAAGCCTGGCCTCGGGCCGGGCTTGGGGAGTAGAACAACTCCCAGAACCCCATCAACCAGGTATATGTGGGCCTGCGGGCCGCTCCAAGCAACAGCCTGGTGGACCAAACTCTCACAAGTCAAGCCTGGCCTCGGGCCGGGCTTGGGGAGTAGAACAACTCCCAGAACCCCATCAACCAGGTATATGTGGGCCTGCGGGCCGCTCCAAGCAACAGCCTGGTGGACCAAACTCTCACAAGTCAAGCCTGGCCTCGGGCCGGGCTTGGGGAGTAGAACAACTCCCAGAACCCCATCAACCAGGTATATGTGGGCCTGCGGGCCGCTCCAAGCAACAGCCTGGTGGACCAAACTCTCACAAGTCAAGCCTGGCCTCGGGCCGGGCTTGGGGAGTAGAACAACTCCCAGAACCCCATCAACCAGGTATATGTGGGCCTGCGGGCCGCTCCAAGCAACAGCCTGGTGGACCAAACTCTCACAAGTCAAGCCTGGCCTCGGGCCGGGCTTGGGGAGTAGAACAACTCCCAGAACCCCATCAACCAGGTATATGTGGGCCTGCGGGCCGCTCCAAGCAACAGCCTGGTGGACCAAACTCTCACAAGTCAAGCCTGGCCTCGGGCCGGGCTTGGGGAGTAGAACAACTCCCAGAACCCCATCAACCAGGTATATGTGGGCCTGCGGGCCGCTCCAAGCAACAGCCTGGTGGACCAAACTCTCACAAGTCAAGCCTGGCCTCGGGCCGGGCTTGGGCAGTAGAACAACTCCCAGAACCCCATCAACCAGGTATATGTGGGCCTGCGGGCCGCTCCAAGCAACAGCCTGGTGGACCAAACTCTCACAAGTCAAGCCTGGCCTCGGGCCGGGCTTGGGCAGTAGAACAACTCACAGAACCCCATCAACCAGGTATCAACCAGGTATTAACATACACACACAGGTTAGGGGGCCTGACGGCTGAGTGGACACCGTTCGGTATTCGTAGTCCTAAGGTTTTGCGTTCCATCCCCGGTGCAGGAGGAAACAAATGGGCAGAATTTCTTTCACGCGGATGCCCCTGTTACCTAGCAGTATATAGGTACCTCGAAGTTAGACAGCTGCTGCTCCCTGGGGATATGTAACAAAAAAGGAGGCCTGGTCAAGGACCGGGCCGAAGGGACGCTAAGCCCCGAAATCATCTCAAGATAACCGTGGCACCTCTACTCCTCACTGGTTCTATTCTGCATTTCCTTCCGTACCTTTCGCTCCAGTATGTTATTATTCTACTGTGCAAATTTGGGACCTGGCCCTCCAGTATCTTCCATGTATATATTATTTGATACCTCTCTCGTCTCCTTTCCAGAGAGAACATTTTGAGAGCTTTGAGACCGTCCCAAGAGTTTAAACTAGTTCATACACTGATAAACAAGGTATACCGCTCTTGGTGTACATGTATACCAGATGGAAGGACCTTGTGACGAGGAGGCCGTACACACCTGTTACAAACACAGCCTCGAACTACAACCCGCACGTGCTCCAGCTCCCGACCCCGGCTTCCTGGGTCACCTTAGCCCGTGAGAGAGGTGACACCAGAGTCGCCCCCTGTGTGTACCACCACACACACACACACACACACACACACACACACACACACACACACACACACACACACACACACACACACACTCACACACTCACACACTCACACACTCACACACTCACACACACACACACACACACACACACACACACACACACACACACACACACACACACACACACACACACACACACACACACACACACACACACACACACACACACACACACACACACACACTCACACACAACCTATCACCCTATCACTATCACCTTTCACTCACCAAGGAGGCGATTTGAGAAGGGACAGAAGAAAGTGAGCCTCAAAGCGATGTACACTAACATAGATGGAATTACAAATAAAGCAAATGAGCTTGGAGAACTGGTACTAGAAGAAAACCCAGACATAATAGCCCTCACAGAAACAAAGATCACGAAAACAATAACAAATGCAGTGTTCCCACAGGACTATTATGTTATGCGGAAAGAGAGGGAAGGAAGAGGTGGGGGTGGTGTAGCTCTGCTGGTAAGAAAAGGCTGGGATTTTGAGGAGATGGATATTCAGGGCTGTGAAGGTTTCAGTGACTACATAGCAGGTACTGTAACAAATGGAGGGAAAAAAATTATAGTCGCAGTCATATATAATCCACCACCAAATGACAGAAGACCTAGACAGGAATATGATAGAAACAACATGGCCACCATTAACATAATAGAAAGAGCAGCTTCTGTTGCTAGCAGGAATGGATCTGGACTACTAATTATGGGAGACTTCAACCATGGGAAGATAGATTGGAAGAACAGAGACCCGCATGGAGGACCAGAAACATGGAGAGCTAAGCTGCTGGACGTGGCAACAAGAAACTTTCTAAGCCAGCATACCAAAGAGCCAACAAGAATGAGAGGAGAAGATGAACCAGCAATGCTTGATTTGATATTTACCCTAAATGAATGGGATATAAGGGAAGTTAAGATGGAAGCGCCCTTGGGAATGAGTGACCACAGTGTATTGAACTTTG